TCCCTGTAAACACTGCAAATTATAGTGAATTGTTTCTCGGCTTCCTCCGCCTGTGGTTTTTTCCCGATTTGGATTTCCACGTAAATTCCTGCGTCTCTATTCTATTTATTTTATTTGTATTACGTTGTGATTATTACGCTTTGATAATTTTTGATCCCATTCCGCATTGAGCTAATATTATTTAAGTCAATTCGTATCCGTCGTATTTTACAACATCGTCGAAGTTACAGGTTTCAAATGGGAGAAGAAAACAGTTGAAGTCATAGGTTTCGACACCAAGGAGTCCTTTTATGCTAATATGCGATGCTTGTATATTGGTGACGAACGAAAAAAAGAGAAGACATGAAGAGATGGGGCGGTGGTGGTCGGAGTTGAATTGATAAGAGGTGCTCCGGTGACCTAGTTTCTAGGGAGTTGGCCTGTTATTTGAGTAATTTTTTGGGTCTCAGGTAATTCGGTTCGGGTAATTTGCGTTTAAAAATTTACCCGATACCCAAACTGAATATAACTTCGAGTAATCGGGTATCGGGTCGGCTCGGTTATATTTGTATATACGTGAAAACTATAACATGTCTAGTGAGTGCAAGTCTTAAAGCATAGTGTGCATAAGTTTTTATACCAACATTTTTCTAGAATTGTGCTTTTACCTTGGATGCAGTTAGTTTGTTGGTTGTTAATAGCTATTACTCCCTTTGTTCAAACAGTACACTATATTTGATTTGACATATAACTTAAAATACAAATATTTTACTGCTAATCAATGTTCTAAAGTTGTTTTAATAGGGTCATCACAATATTGGATTTGACATATAACTTAAAATACAAATATTTGACTACTAATCAATGTTCTAAAGTTGTTTTAATATGTTCATCACAAAAAAAGCTTATGGACAGAAACTAAAGTTAAAATATGAGTATAGTTGGTGATGGATGCACACCCATAACAAATTGACGAATAAAAAGAGAAAAGAGTAATGCACATGGTATTTTTTTCATCATAGTGAATAAAAGCTAGTAACAAAAAAACAAAGATCCTAAATAATTTTAAATACCCATAATAACATAATGATACTAAGTTTCAAACCACAAAATATTTTCAAAATAAAAATATATCAAGTTTTAAAAGATCTTCAGGAAAAGAGAATATGGACAAGTGGATATTACCCAACGAGCTCTTTATTTTTTGAATAATTCGGGTATTTTGGGTATACCCGAAAGCCTATAAATATACTTTATACTTGGTCTAAAAAAATCGGATAACCCGAATATCCAAAAATGTATACCCGATACCCGAGAAAAAATCGGGTAACCCGAATACCCGATGTCCACCCGACCCGATTTAACCGGATTGAAAATGGATCGGACGGGTATTTCGGGTTTCAGTTATTTTCGACATGGGAAAATAGGGAGGGGGTTGTATCATTTTCTTTTCTTTTTTTTATTCTAAAAAATGATAAAAAAATATAGAAAAAATAAATTATTAAGGGCAAAATAGTTATTTTATGTCTTTAGGCATGGCTGAGTGAAAAAAACATAACACAAGGACGGGTCCGAGTTAATTTTAAGAAATAAAGACTAAACGTGTCTTTTGACTCTTATATGTGGGAATATATCATTAAATTTGCATGAGCAAGCTTACAATTTACAAGTATGTGCTATTTTCTATTAGTAAAGTGGTTTTTCTCGATGCGGTGTACCTTCAACATTACACGTTTACACATCACTCCGGTTATAAATCTTGATTGTTGACGTACATCATAAAATTTGTAAAAGATTTATAAATTATGCAAAAGATTTATAAATTATGCAAATATAGACGAAATTAGCATCGTGGCATGTGTCGTGGTGGTGGTAGGATGCGTTCTTGAGCCCTTTTGCCATCTTTAACAATGAATACTGTTTCCATACCCCAAGTAAGGTGACGTTCCAAATGACAATGCAAAAACCATACTCCTGTTCGGGATTTATGGGATTTATAAGAGAACGACAATATATTAGTATGAAGATAATGTAAGAAAACACAAATGATTAGTTTATAAACTACAAAAGGGTTGTTGTTAGCTATGTATCTTCATTACCTGGGTTATGAGCCTTGAACCTAATCGCAGCCCATCCATTTATCGGAACAATGACAGTGTTTCGGTATGGCGGGTCGACAAGGTTATAGTTCTTGGGGTCCTTCTTTTTGTCAAAGTTACCAAATCCCCATCCCAGAACGTAAAAATTGAATCCATGCAAATGCATAGGATGATCAAGCCCACCAACCAGATTAGTCCCTTGAAAAACCACTTCTATGATCGAATTATACCGGATCACCCTCACTTCTGTAGCCCTCTCTGGCGTTAGTAGGATCGTTGGTAAGTTGGTACCCGTAAAGTTGAAAAACAATGGAGGAACCCTAGGAAACCGTGTGCCAAAAACGCCATTGATGTGATAATAGTATGCTTCAAGTATATCAATAAACGGAGATACAAAACTTATGTTGTTCATACTAGCCGCTAGTCGATTACCATTTGGTCCAGCACAAGAAGCATTCGCACATGGGAGTGTGTTTACAGAAATGGTGGAAATTATCCGTGTATCGTACTTGTTTAATGGGAATAAGAGCGGATCTGGGTATCTAAGGTTGCCAAGAAAGTCAAAAGCTGCAGTGGTATCATTGTAAAATGGTAATGAAGGGAGTAGAGGTGAAGTGGTTGTTGGTAAAGAATCACCATAATTAAGGATCGCGGTTGTGGTGCTGTTATCAAAAGGCAAGGCCGTGGAATATGCTCTAGCAGCCATGTAGTAACTACCCCTCGCCTTTTGGTTTGCTTCTAACAAGCAATCAAGTGTTTGACCAGGGGCGATTATTACATAATCTTTTGTAAATGGCTTGGTGTAGCTACCATCGGCTCCCACAACTGTTAGTGAATGATTGGCAATGGCGAAAAAAAGGATTTCATTCATCGCTGCATTTACCATACGCAAAAGATACCTTTTCCCGTATTCCACATTTAACATGAACGTATCTGTAAAGGATAAAAGTTATGAAAATAACTCTTGAAATATATAGGTTTCATTAAAGTTTGAGCTTTAATTTCGGGTAAAATTACGAAACTAACCTTGGCTCGAGCACGGATAAAGATCACCAGGTTGACCATTGATGGTATAAGCATCGGAGTTTCTTGGGCCACCACCTGACGCAACAAATTCCCGGAGCACTTCCCTAACATCTTCCTTCCACCACTCGCCTGTGAAAAATTCGACACAACAAAACATGAACATTTTTTGACTTCTGTATTAAAATTTTGAAAATATAGAAACATGTCTACTTACCGAAAATTATGGGCACTTCTTGATGGGGTTTGGGAAAGCGATAACTCCTTCCATGTTTGGGGTACACGATGATAGCGCCATGGACAGTGGCTCTAAGCCAGTCGCTATGAGCATGCCACCAAAGTGTCCCGATCTCTGAAGAGAATATGATCTTGTAGTTAAACGAATCGCCTGGTTGAATCGGACACTGTGTGATATATACAGGACCATCGCTCCATGGATTCCGTGGTTGCTTTACACCGTGCCTGAGGTTTTGAACACATTCAAATACTTGTAAATATTTTGTAAAGATTAAGGATAATATGGTGTTTATATTAAGTTATGATTAAACCACGTAAGTCGTAACCCTGTGTTCTCGTAATTTATATGTTGCTTTTAACATTCCTATTGTCGTGCTATTCTTGTGTGCGAATGAATTCGTATCCTATGGTTTTGAGATTCCTTAACTGTTTATTGGTCTACATGTGTAGATTTTGTGCAAAAAATAATCTTTTCGACTGTCCTAAATTATGTTTTAACATATGTAATTTAATTTGTGTATAAAACAAACTATGTCTTAGAAGAAAATTTGAAAAGTAGTTTTAAATTTTTGTACATGGATATTTCTTATACTTTATTCTCTCTTTATTAAAATAAAAATAAAAATTGTTTGATTATTAGTCGAATAGCTAAATACCTTCAATGACATAGCAGAAAATAAAAGAATTTCTGTAAATTAAAATCAGTATTTTCAGTATTTTGTATGCAAAAAAAAAAAATGTTTTCATACCAATGAATGGTGATGTTGTATCTTCCATTGTTATGGACCTTGACATAAATTGTATCTCCTTCATGAACATACAACGTTGGTCCTGGAAATTGCCCATTTACTGTTAAAATGTTTTTTGTTGCACAAAGTCGTGTATATGATGCTTCCTTCACCTACCCATTCAAATAAGTACACTTTAAATGAGATATTCATCACTAAAAAAAATGGACGAAAAATGTTAGCGTTCATTCTTTTAGAAAAGTACTTATTTTTTTGGAACAACAAACATAATATAATCCTAAACTACTTGAATCCTCAATTTTAAGGAAGAAGGTTAATACCTAATACCGCAGGGCTAGACACCATTTGGTTTTAGAAAAATACTTATCATTCCTATAGAAAAATACTTACGAAAAACTTATGATGTCGACGCCATGCTTCAGTATGAATGAAATTTGCAAATAACAAAAGGACCAATACCACAATTTTTTTGCTTAAAGCCATCTTGAAAGGTGAGAATATCATTTATCTCTTGTCGAAGTGATGTGAATTTATACACAACTTGCATAAGTCTGAGGTGATAACAATTCAAAAAAGTAACGTGTTTCTTTTTAACTTTTTTATATATCATAGTTGACTTACAGGTTAGAAAGAAACAAAAATGGTATAATGTAAAATATAATTAAAACAAAAAGGACCGATATATTTCACAAAAATGACTATTAGAAGTGCCAATATATTGCATCCGGTTGGAATTTGGAAATACCTATTTCGGATACGTCCTTTGGATCCCAGATACTTCATTTCAGATTTCGAACATATATATTTTAAAATATCTTAAGACAACTAATTCATATTATCACCAAAGGGCTTCTAACCCAATGGTATCAGGTGTTACTTGAAACATCCCAAAAATACAGACCAAAAATTTCTTTTTAAAATCATTTATAATAAACCATAAGTCATCCATCATCATAAAGAAAATCATAAATCATGTATCTCAGAACATCGTGTCAAATACTGTATCAAAATCATATGAGAAAATATCAGAGTCTAAACATCCCAGGTTGAAATTGTGGTGTGTGTCATGCGATCATCTCGAGCCCTTCCCATTGCTAGTGGAAGTACCTGAAACCAAAACTGAAAATTGTAAGCACGAAGCTTAGTGAGTCTCCCCAACTACCACATACCATATACATATCACATAACATATCTTGGGCCCAGCCCCTGCTACATCGAGTCAAGCTCGGCATCGGCTTTCTCGACATCACGCCCCGCCCGACATCGAACCCTATTCGGCATCGGGCCCCGCCTGGCATCGAGCAGATCTTGGCATACATATACATATCAACAACATATAACATAAGCACATAACCCTAGCATGAAAACGTTCCTCGGGCCCCGCCCGACATCGGACCGAGATCCGGAAACATACTAACAGTCCTCGGGAACCGCCCCGGCATCGGACCTAAGCCCGGAACACATAACATATAACAAACACATGCAAGAATCACAAAGATATCAAGTATACAAGCTTACAAGCATTCCTCGGGACCGCTCCAGCATCGGATCGGAATCCGGAAAACATATAAACCTACTTCGGGCCCCACCCAGCATCGAACCGTGGTCCAGAATTACTGCTATCTAAATGGGTCGGCCTTGGTGCCTTAGACCCGTTCCTACTGGAGAAAACTCACCTCGCAAAGTTGTTTGCAAAAACTCGCGGTGAGGAATATCTGATAGTTGCTCCAACGACTCCCCGACTATCAATATCACAATAATACTTACTCAAAATCTGAAAATCCTTCTCAGGGTAAAATGGCCATTTTACCCCTGGTCAAAGTCAACATCATGGTTAAAGTCAAAGTCAAGGTCAACTCCCAGTCAACCCCAACTCATCGAGTCATCTCCCAACTCGGGGAGTTCATGAACAACTCAGACCCGTGGTCAACTAAGGTGTTGTTTGATTTTCTGAAGCAAAATTTCATGAAGTCTGCGGACCATCTCTGCAACCCTCTGCAGTAGAAGAGGTGGACCAAACGGCTGCAGACTGTAATAAGAAGCGTGTTTGTTTTTTAACATCTGCATACTGCTGCAGATATTAAAAAATTAAAATAAATTAATTTTATAAACCGAAAAAAGTTTTTTAATACGTAAAATTTAATAATGTATAACATTTCGGCAAGAATCAATGATATTTCAGTAAAAAATAATGATATTTCTACAAAAAAAATAAATATATTTTAGTAAAAAATAATGATATTTCATCAATAAATTATCATTATTGAATATAAAAAACGAAAAAAAAATATTCAACAATAATAAACAAAAAATAAACGAAAAAAAAGGTGAAATAAAATTTCAACAATATATAATCAAAATTTCAGCAAGAAAAAAAGAAGAAGAGGTTGGAAAAGGCAGTACAAGTGTTGCGCCAAACAGAGCACGCGCGGAGGTTTTTGACTCCGAAGACTTCTAAAAAACAAACAGTTGGGAGATGAAAAGTGTTGCGCATGTGCTGCGCCGCGCAACAATAAGAGGTCTGAAGAGGTTTTTTTCCAAAAAACAAACAGCACCTAAGTCAACTCGTCGAGTCCCTTCCCAGACTAGTCGAGTTCTTTCTGTCATAACATCGGGACATATCGACTCTAACTGGTCGAGTCCCTCATTGGACTCGTCGAGTTCTTCAGCTTCCGTGTCCTAAACTTGTCCAACTCACTGAGTTATCTCCTAAACTTAATGGTTTCACTCACAACCAGAAAAGGAGTTAGGGTTCACGACCCGACTCGTCGAGTCCAAGAACAACTCGCCGAGTCCTCCATGTGACATATCCATTCAGTCAATTCTAATCCATTCCAGTGCTTCTAACTCGTAGATCTGGACTCCTTAGACTAGCATTACACGTAAAGTTGCTAACTCTACATGCATGCATGGTGTTATGAAGCTAAAACACCCAATCCAAGCCAAAATGAAGGTCTAAGTCATAGAATGGAGCCATGGCTGATTAAAGGTGGCAACTTTGAGCTTCTAAAGCTCAAGAGTGCCCATATCTGAAGTCCTTACATCCCCAAAGGTCCAAAACTCGGAATGAGCTTGGAAATGGCCCAAAAATGACAACATACAAGCTAAGAATGAGATCTAAGTGAATAACAGCCAAGGTATAAGCTTTATACCTCTGTGAAGATAGAAATGAGTCCTTAGCTCTGGATCTTTGACCTTCCTTCTGCAACTCAAAGCCTTTTGCTTCCTTCTTCTAGCCTTAATCACAAAAATGGCAAGAAATAGCTCAAGATCACTCAAGGTTGATTAGGGTTTCAAGATTAGGTTTTGGAGGTGATGGGGGTTGGGATGAAGGCTAGATATGATGCTTAAATAGGGTACAAGCCCTAAAGATTAGGGTTTCATCCAGCCTGTCCTACTCATCGATTCAGGGCTTCGACTCATCGAGTAGCTCACTTAAAACCCGCGCATATATTGCCTTCTACTCGACGATTTAGGGCCACCAACTCGTCGAGTAGCCCTTCCAAAATGAATAAATAAATGAATTCAGTGCATACCAGGAACTAGGCGTTACATTGCTCTTCCTCCTTGTGGTCGAGGGTTCACGTCTCTTCGTGGACATAAGTGAAATTGAGAAGTAGTTTAGCTATTTAGGAATATATTAGATTTGTTGTTAAAAAAAACAAAAAAAAAGATAAAACAAAAAAACAAATTCATGTTATCATGGAATAATCTTCCTCACTTGCAAAGTTGTATGGTACAAGTAAAAATACAAGAGAATAAGGTCATAGATCGAACTATAACAATGTTGAATAAATACATTTAATAATACACATGCACTAATTAATATCCCCCCTGTAGTTTTATAGTTTTATTGGTATGAGATCTCCGAAATCTGAATGTCTAAACTAGAGCAAAAGTCAAAAAATAGTGATGTAGATAAGCCTTTGGTGAAGATGTATGCATATTGAGCAAATGATGGAACATGAAACGAATAAGGCCATGAGTAAACTATCCTAAACAAAGTGAATATCAATCTCAATATGTTTAGTGCACTAATTCTACAATGAATTGGAAGACATATGTACCATGTTGATGTCGTCACAGTAAACAATCGTGGCCTTTGTGGACAGGCAACACAATTCATGAAGAAGGTTGCGAAGCCATCATGTCCTGAAAACTATGTTACCCACCTCGCCGATATTTTGCTTCTACATTGGACGGAGAAATAATAAATTGGTGCTTGGACGACCATGAAATAAGGTTGTCTCCCATGAAGACACGATACCCAAATATAGATCGTCATGTGACTGGGCACCCACCCAATCTACGTCTGAATAAGCAATGAGGTTTGATGTCAGATACATATAATTCTACAATCCATTATCAGTGATTCCATGTAAGTAGCGGAAAATACATTTGAGGGCATGTAGGTGAGGTTTATCTAAGTAATCTTGCATTTTGGTCTGGGACTCGGCGAGTTGAGGTCCAACTCGCCGAGTAGGAGCATCTTAGACACGGGAGTTTAATGAGCTACTCGGCGAGTCGGCGACCGGACTCGGCGAGTAGGTACTGTCTGGAAAAAAACCCTAATCTAAGGGTTTGCACCCTATTTAAACGACTTTATTGCGGCCACAACGTCCCCTATGCTCCCAGAAAAGCTCCCTTTGAA